GAAAAAAATGGCTGTTTTTTGGCGGGAAAACTGGCGCGTTACAGCGCGAAAAATAAAAGATGAGGGATTTGGCGGGAACCTGGGAAACGTGCTTAAATGTAAACACATTTGTTATTTTATTGATGTTTTGTGTTGGTGGGTCGTGATTGTGGTTACCTTGACCAGGTGTGTGTGTGTGTGTTGTGTGTGTGTGTGTGTGTGTGTGTACTCACCTAGTTGTACTCACCTAGTTGAGGTTGCGGGGGTCGAGTCCGAGCTCCTGGCCCCGCCTCTTCACTGATCGCTACTAGGTCACTCTCCCTGGGGCCGTGAGCTTTATCATCCCTCTGCTTAAAGCTATGTATGGATCCTGCCTCCACTAACATCGTTTCCCCAAACTATTCCACTTACTGACTACTCTGTGGCTGAAGAAATACTTCCTAACATCCCTGTGATTCATCTGTGTCTTCAGCTTCCAACTGTGTCCCCTTGTTACTGTGTCCAATCTCGGAACATCCTGTTTTTGTCCACCTTGTCAATTCCTCTCAGTATTTTGTATGTCGTTATCATGTCCCCCTATCTCTCCTGTCCTCCAGTGTCGTCAGGTTGATTTCCCTAAACCTCTCCTCGTAGGACATACCTCTTAGCTCTGGGACTAGTCTTGTTGCAAACATTTGCACTTTCTCTAGTTTCTTCACGTGCTTGGCTAGTGTGGGTTCCAAATGTGCCCCATACTCCAATATGGGCCTAACGTACACGATGTACAGGGTCCCCGAAAAGATTCCTTATTAAGTGCGGAATGCTGTTCTGAGGGTTTGTAGGCGCCCATAGCCCGCCGTTATTTGGTTGATGTGCCTTTAGGGGTGTGCCTGGTGTTATATCACCCAAGATTTTTTCCTTGATGAGGTTTGTAGTCTCTGACCCCCCCAACTGAAACCCCTCTGCGGCCTTCTTTTCCCTTTTCCCCCAAACTTCATGACTTTGCACTTGGTGGGATTGAAATCCCAGGAGCCAATTGCTGGACCGGGCTGCGCCCGTCCAGATCCCTTTGTAGTCGCCTGGTCTTCGATGATGAATTCTTTCATAACTTCACTCATCGCAAAAAAGGGGAAACCCAGTCTATTCCTTCCCTCATGTCGTTCACAAAAAACCCGAAACACACTGGGCCAGGACTGACCCCTGCGGGGCCCCGCTGGTCACAGGGCCCACTCTGACACCCCCGCCCCGTACCATGACCCGCTGCGTCTTCCTAAAAGATTTCCCCGATCCATTGTAGTGCCTTCCCCGACCCTGCTTGGTCCTCCATTTTTTGCACCAATCTCTTGTGTGGAAATGTGTCAAACGCCCTTTTTCAGTCCAAGAAAAAGAATCCACCCACCCCTCTCTCTCTTGTCTTACTGCTGTCACCCTGTCATAGAACTCGTAGTTTGTACAC